CCACACATAATTACAATATTAGTCTGTCTAGTCTATCAGGTTGTCTCAAACAATTGTGGATAAGATATGATACATAGGAAAATACAATATACAAAATATGATAATCTGTTTCTAAACAAAACATTACTTGATGCTACTTTGTTCATATAGCAGATTCATATGCTGAAGCACAATGGCTTCCATCCTGTTCAATTTCCTTCATTTTATTTTGATTTACTTAGTCTTCTAATTCTGGGTGTCCTTGCTGCACCATTTTTCTAAATTGTGACTTATAAGACTATATACCTTTTCCTAAGATGATTTAAACATTTAAGGTGAGTTCTTTAAAAGTGTTTCAGGACTCTTTGGGGAACCGAACTTTGCCACTTTGGCTGTATCCAGATCCCCTTGTTGCATACAATGGGAAACAGTAGGGCCTCCATTTGGCTTGTTCACCTGGATTTCCCACAGAAAACCCATGGTTGAGAAGAAGCGGGTAAGGAAAAATGAAGTTTGTACCTGTCTGTATCTGATAATTAGATTGGGATACAGCCCCAACAGACAGATTGATACAGTTTGTGCATCTACCCAGACCCAGTAACACTCAAGGGCTTCCAGGTTCACTATGTTAGATGCAGGCTGTGAGTCCTAAATACCATTAAAGTATACTGCAAGCTATTAAGTCTTTGAAGTGCTTTTGAAAGTTTTACCTCCACCCATAACAAGCCAGTAATCTTTTAAATCTTGCTAAAATATTAGTCTCAATATTTTGATTAATCACTTTCAAAAGTCTGGGTTTTTTTCAAATCTTGAAAATACATGGGATTTGCAACATCAAATGACACACAGAAAGCAACAGCAAATTTAAAAAATATCTCGCTAAATTATCATTATGTTTATTGTTAATAAACAAGAACAAGCACAAGGTTTACTTTGAAGATGAATCACACAGGCAGAACCCCAGCTTCAATAGCGTTTCTTTCACATAAGATTGCTCACTATCAATCAGTAAACAAGAAAAATTTGGCAAAGGTTGTTTAGCACACTTATGTGGGCAATGACCGCTTACAATGCTACAAATGAGGCAGTTTAGAAAAGCAAAATTCTAAATATAATTTTGGTCTGAAACAATGTGTTACTTTACATATTCCTAAACTAGTGCCAATGCATTTAATAGCCTCATATTGTAAATCCCAGAGCAAATCCCTCATTAACCCTCAGCCTTGTCATTTAGAAATGCAGGATTGACCTGTAGCCAGAAACATTAGCTTTTTGACTGAGAAATTGCTACCCTGACATTGAGAAACGCTGCTCCTCTGTGACAAGTAGTAAGTCTAGACAATTGTTTCTCAACGGAGGCTCCATGGATAGCATCAGACAGCACAGTGCAATCAGCACAATGTCTGGCAAACTATTTTTAAACCTTCATATGTGTTCTCTGCAGTGAAGCCAGCAGTCAGGCCAAAGCATGAATGTAAGTGGATATAAAAGAATACTCATATTTCAGCTATGACTTCAGAAATGTTGGATGGCCCATCAGAGACAAAAGGCTGAAGATTACTGAATTTGAATACGTTTTCTGAGGGAAAACAATATTATTTTTCATGTAGGAAAAAGGCTCAGGACATCACTCACTTTGTGAAGACAAAATGGGTGTGCATGACTTTCAGTTTGCAAGTGGGAGATCTACAACTACTGAGCTTTTTTACTATGAAAAGCCATATATTAAGAGGAACAGCTGGTATACTTTGTATACCTCCACATTGTCTTCACAAGTTCTTTGATACTTAATCCAAAGTGATGCCTTATTACTAACCTACATACTCCATTTTCTTGTAAGCTGGTATTTAGGCAAGCACCTTGTTGCCAGCAGGCACGGACCCCACCACTGCAGTGCACCTCTTGCCAGAACTTGTACTAACAGAATACCATCAAACATGTATCACAATGTGTTTTAAAGGCGTGGCAGTTATTTTGGTGCTACATAGAACTTCAAGAATAATTATACTATATGCTGCAGTGAGTAAACATTTTTAAAATGTCTCATTTGGCCAAAACCAGTCTCCTACTGCGTTTTTACATTGCTTTATTCTATGGGCTTTCAGAGTGTCTTTCAAAGATTTGTGCTTAGTCTCAGCTGCTAGCATTAATGAAATTTTGCCAGATTTTATTTTTTGTGGTTATAGCTATTTGTGCAATGATTAGGAAATGGAGAGGATAGCATGGAACCATCCTAAAGAAGCAATGAGTTCAAACACTAGTGATCTACAGTGTTAATATTGTGTACAGCTTCTCAGTAGTTAACATCTGCTTTGCTTCTATTGTTTGATTTCCATCAATAGGACTAAACACTCTATGGCTTGGAAAGCTATACTGGGAGCTTCATATTCAACATGGAAGCATTTAGTATGAAATCCCTGAATCATAATCTTATAATTGTTCACATTTATTTTTCCATGTGATAAAGATATTTAAAAAATTTAAGAATTGTACATGACACTTACTAGAGTTTCTTTCATATTCAGCAAGGAATGAGACGGAGGAAAGGTACCCAGGCGTTTTTTGAAACCTTCTTCCACTGTCATTCCCCAGAACTGACTGTAGTTGTCAGCTTTCCACCTTCATCACAGACAGAAAACATACAAACACAACCCATGTTAGAGATACTACTCACATTTATACCTTGCTCCTTTGTAAGTGCACCATTAACAATAACATCCAGAAATAAATCTTTCAAACTACATTTCAAAACCTTGTATTCAATATGCTTGAGAAAATATTTAGTACAGGCTCTGCCACTGCAAATGAGCATAGAATTGAGCAACACGGCAGTACATGAAAACTGGTGATTTAAGGTCAGCATCATGTCAGCCTGCATGAGCTGAACATGCAATGCTTCAGAGAAGTACTGGAAAACAAGATGCTTGGTCAAAACAGTTACTGTTGTCTTGAAGTTATGCTCAAACTATGCTTCAGACCAGATGCCCACAGAGAACTAAGAGCTTCATGTAGCGAGTTCCATTGCCTTCAAGCCCTGGAGCACCAGCAGTAAGATACTGTTGAACCCAGCAGAAATCCCATCTAACACCTCCTGTCCAAGTTTTACACCAATAGCCAGCTTGAGAGAAAGGGCTCCCTGTGGCTCCTTAGTCATTCCATTCTTACTGCGAGGTCAACCAGACTCAGATTGTAGCATTAACCCTGCAAACTGTATACACAACAGAAAAAAAAAATACCTTGCAACCATACACAGTTGGAACACAATGACATTTATTATTATTGGAAAGGACCTGAGCCATATGGAAGAACATTCCCTTTACCCATTTTTTTCTTGTTTGTGTATGAGAAAAAAGAAGGTGGCATTCGTGCTGCCCAAATGAGAAGCCCCCTTTTGCTCTTGGTCTGCCTGTAGTCAGTGAAGAGTGACAGAAGTTGAGTCATATCTCAGGTCAGCTTAACCACCCTGTGGCAAACCTTACTGCTCACCACTGACAAGAGACAGGTGAAGGGCTCCAGGTGCCTAACCTAATTGTCTATCCTAACTCAGTTGGTCTGAATGTCTCCCATGAAGTACAAAATGTTTCAGCACCAAGTCACAGCCTGAAATCTGGGCAGGCTTCATCAGTGAATTTAGCACTTCAGTTCCTAGGGAGGCAACCCCTGTCTCTCCACCTGTAAATAGCCAGTGTGCTCTCATGGCACAGCTCTGGTGCTGGAATGTCCATAATCCCCCTGTGCTACCTTGGAGGAATGAAGTAATAAATAAAGTAATAAATAAAGGGAAGAATAAGGGAAGATGATCTAAATAGCCTTTTGTGAGAAAAAAAAATTGTACTAAATTTGGAGAATATTTTAGATAGATGTTTATGATGTCAACTGTAACCAGCATGAGACTTTCAGTATCTTTCAAGCTAAAACTCTACAATCTGTCAGAGATTTTAGGAAGTTTCGCAGATGTACATTTACTGTCAAATTGCTGTAACATAATCGAGGATGGAAGGGGTGCAGAGAACTGCATAACTTGTAATTTGCATATACATACAATGAACAATACAGTGGTTTACAACAAAGCCTTAAAATGAAAGTGTTCTCACCCATAATCTCCAGAATTGATGTGCTGAATTAAGTCTTGACGAACAAGGCATACTTCCTTTGAACACTTCCAGAGACTTTGGAAGCATTTGCTGAAAGGGCAAGAATATCACTGAGCAGAAAATGAATTGTCAAAAGAAAAATATGCACTTTAACAGCAGAAGGAAGATGGAGAAAAAAAACCATAAAAAATATAAATGTCACATAGTATTTATGAAAACACAGTGCTACTTCTCACTGTTTGACTACCTAATGAATCCTAACTGGAACCAGATGGGAATGCTTACAGCTTGTGGGAAAGGTCGTATTTGAAAAAAATTGCTTCCGTCTTTTTGAGAATAAACCAGGGAAAAAAGGCAATGTCCTGTAAATCAGATGTTTTGAGGATATTTTGAGAAATTTTCACTCTGGAAATCCAGAAGGGAGACATGTGGCCGTAGACACATGTGGGCTAAAGTCAGGGAAGTGGGGGCCCCAGCCCTGTTTGGGTGCTGCTGGAGCCTGCAGGGCTGGCTTTTGGAGAGGCAAACCAGGGAAGCGGATCAGGAAGCTAACTGCCAGGGCTGGCAGCAGAGATCCCCTGCCTGTGCTGTCAGCTCCTGTCCCAAGGCAGAGAAAGGGTTGCTCAAATGGTCCATCCCTTTCCTACATAACTATACATATACATATTCTTCCCTTATGAAATAATGTAAGTTCTCATCACTCATGCCAAAGAAGCAGAGTAAGACATTCTAAAATAATCACCTAAACTTTAATATTTGTTTTGTCTGCATTCAGTTCAATGCCCAACTCTAGGCTGAAACTATTTTGTCTCAGGTTAGTGCCAGCAGATTGAGCAGATACAGAACTAGGCCAGTGAGGAGGAGATTTTAATACTCAATTAGAAGGCCCATTGACCTCTTGCCCTCCTAAGTTGTCTGTAATCTAGTTCTACAATACCTTAGTACGCTACTACTCTTCTAGCTATTTTGATTTGATTACATTTAATATTAATTTAAGGATGATCACTGCCTTACTTCCTGTTTCATGACATATGCTAAACAAAATTCAATTTGCTGTTCTCTGAAACTTTACCAGAAATTGCAGTTGTCTTTAATGATTGTTCCTTCTCCATAATGTCGGCCATCTTTATAACAACCTGCCAACATAACATATAGATGTGTGAAAAAATATAATAGTTTTTAAGTTAATTTACTCAAAAGTCTTGTTACTCTTGAATTAATTGGTTGTATGTGTTATGTGTAAATTACATAGTTGAAAGTCGGCAACATTTATTTCCAGCTTCTTCCAAGTACTGAAGACAGTTTGGTGTATTTTAATTTTTTTACCAGATGCATTATCATTCACAGTAAATAAAATCAGCAACAGATTCAAAACATTCACTGAAAAATTATTTTTACATGTAAATAAACATAATTCTTCAAAAAAGTTATTTTTCAGTAATAAACACAAAAAATATAAAAAAAACTTTTCTAATAAAAATAATTTTCTAATCAGCAATTAAAATAGAAGATTTTCTAGTTATAGAATTTTAAAAACTAACCATTCCAAATATTTTGTAATATATTCCTTTTTCTCAACAGTTTAATTCCTCTTTGAAAAACAAACAGATCAATTATGTTTCAAGGCGAATGTATGTTTCATATGCTCTCCAAAACCTAATTTGAGTGACAATTTTTCAAAATAAATACATGTCTCCTAATTTTTTTTTTCTGATAACACTTCACTCTTCTGCATAAACAGCTTCTTCTGTGCGATTGATTGTCAAAGCTTCAGCAAAGGAAAGATACAAAAAGTCTGCACAGGACTTTGGATCAAGCCTATAACAAACATTGTACATTTATCACATCTGTCTTTGTTTTCCAGCCTGTTCTCACATTTCCTCCACTGGTGAGCCTAGAGGTAGAGATCACGTTCCTTCTCCCACTGAAAGGGTTTGGGGCCAGAACCCCCAACTTCTCCTTTCTCCTTCATTTTCAAGAAACTTAAACCATATTTGATATTAATATAGTGTTTACTTGCATTTGTATTATATCATGCTTTCTTCCCACCATGAGTGTGAGGAAGGCCATCCCCCTCTCAAGCCAAGGGCTGGAGTTTGTCTGCCCAGATGTACATAGGTGTGCCTCAGCTGCCTGGGCCTTGCTTATTGGCAGGAGAGAAATATGCACTTCTAAGCCATAGCTAATTTCGTACCAAAGTGCAGAAGTAGACTAGAGTTGATTAATTAATCATAAGTGCTTATCTCTCCCTGTTAGTCATACAGCAGGCTATGTTAGCTAGAACAGACATAGGGTGAGATATTTCCCACCTAAGCAGTCTGAAGCCCGAAGTGTCTGCTCTAATTCAGCTTTTGCTAAGATCCAAAACACTTTCCAGAGAATAGCCAATAAAAAATTATGGAAGTGTTGCAGCTTATCCCAGTGTGCCACAAAGTCAGTATCAGACAGTAGCTGGAAGGAGGCATCAAGCCGGATATTTTGAATATATGGAGGGAAGAAAGTATTGATGCAGCATTTGAGTGACAGGATGGAGCCTCACTGGAGCTCTGCTGGCAGGCCTCACTGCCCATGCCTCAGAGAAAATGCAAAGCTGGACAAGTACAGAAGAAGCTTTTTAATAATGTATGCTTAGGGGATTGAAGATTAAAACCATACAGCTTCTTTAGCCTAGCCAAATTAAGATTTAGAGAGTCAGGAGCTCTGCCTGAGGCATCAGTGGCATAGAGCAGCAATATCTGAACTAAAAGACTGTTTGCATGAGAACACAGTGAGATTGTCTGGCTGTGAATATATTAGGTTGCAATATTAATATATTAAGTGGGAAATTAGTTAATTGGAAGATGCAGCCTGATGTCTTTATGAATGGGATTGAATTATGTGAAAAATTATAATTGGAAGGAAGAGTGTTTAATAAACAAGGACTTCCGCTCCCAGTCCAGCGTTCTTGCTCTGGAACTCTTACTTCATTTCTCCCCGTTATTGATGTAAGTACGGTTGTCAGTTAAATGTCTCCAGGTTTACTCACTTGTAGGCCGGATCCTGACTGTGTAGTATAAGAGCAATTAGAAAATTCTCCAGATGTCACTTTTATACCACCACCAAGGTGAGAACCAGTGTGTTGATTCTGACAGGGCTTTTTGTACCATCAGAGTAATTGAAACAAAAAGATAAAATAAATAATAAATCTAGTCAGTAAATAAAATTCTCACAGTTCATAACAGAAATTAAAATAATAGTAATTAAAAAATCCAGAACTTCAGTTTGGTATCTAAGGCAGGACTGTGCACAGTTTCTTCTGAAACTACACAGGAAAACCATTCAAACACATCGAATGCTAGGTTCATAAAGGCAAAGTCAAAGCAATTCCACGGAGTTGAATCAAGACCGGCCCTCAGCATGGTGCTGGAAGCACCCATGGAAGAAGTCACAGTGCAGCTCACTCTTGCTGTGCACCAAGTCAGTGAATGGACCAGGATCCAGAAAAAAAGCGCTGAGCAGTTTTATTGCTGCTCATTCCAGCCCATGTAAAGCACTTCAGTTTATTGGTTTATTTAAAGAAATATGACTCAGGAAGCACTGAGAGCAAAACCACGGGCAACAGAAGATCAAAATCTTCCAGGTAAAAGCACTTCAGCATATGTGGTCTTTTAGTGTTTAAATGATTCTCAGCCAAAAGTCTCAGTCACTAAAAGTCAGCTAATATGTCATTTCTAAAAATGCTTCATAGTTTGCTTAATCTTCAGACATTCAGTCCTTTTTGTTCCTTCATTGTTTCCTTCCAATTACATTCTCTCTTCCCTGTTCCTGAGAGATTCCAGCACTAGAAAATTCCTTTAGAGATTTTTTTTTTCCCTGATGTATTTTGGGTGTTTTATTATTCTTTTTTTTTACTCTTTAAATGACTTACATAACAAATATCCAATAAACAGATTTCAAAAAGGTGCAGACCTTCCATTAGGGAAGCAATTTAAGGATCAGAAAGAAAGGATCTTAATTTGAGATGAGATACAAAGAAAAAATGAAGCTCACCTATAGGACAAACAAAGGTACCTGAGTAGACTAAATATAATGGCTACCTCTGGCAGGCATGTACAGTCCAGGAGTTGCAAAACAATGGACACACATGCAAAAAATTAGATTAAGAAAGTCAGTAAAAATATTAACCCTCACCTATACCCTTATCTAAATCTTCTGTTACACTTTTCCCTTCTAGAGGTAGACCTACAGCAGGGCCCACACAGCAAACTGCTGCAGAGTTTGTAGTGATTTGTTTCCATGAAACAGTTTGCCCAACTCGACCATAGGCTGTCAGAGCTAGAGCAGAAACACTGCTAAATGTTTATGTAAAGTTTATGCCAACAACCCCCGATCTGCTGGAAATAATATGCACCACTGCATCAAAGAAATATGAAACAAATGTCTTTATTTACACGAATCATAAAACATTATTTTCAGTGATTAGAAACACTTTGTAAAATCAAATTTTTTACAGCATTTCTTTCACTCCCACTTATCAGATTTTGGCTGCATGCCTGGGTTAAGAGCACAGCCTCCTGAAGAGCTTGTGGTGTGAGCACTGGAATGCAGGCAGCCAGGTTATTGCAAAGAAATGGTTAATTTTAAAAAGTCATGGTAGTTTTTTTGGTTGATTTTAGGCTTTTGAAAGTTTGGTACCATTTCCATAGTTTCAGCTAGATTTAGTCTACCAATAGTAGGAAGCTACATAGTCTTAAAATCTTAAAATCCACAATTCTAAACTTCTCTCACCATTGGAGATTTGGCCTATGCAGGAACTAAGGGAGGACCAGCTGTCTGTGGATAATTTTTCTGCAATCTCTAGTTCTAAAAAAAGTTGACTATGTTTAGAGTAGTTCTGAAGGAACTTCCCCTACAAATTAACTAATAACAACATAAAATATGCCAGAAATACTTATTCTAACCACATGCCTTCACCTACTCCTGCACTTCAGCTGTCGCAGAAAAAACAGTGTCACAGGGGTGAACTGTACTGGATCAAAACCTTTGCAGAATACCTCAGAGCAGTATCACTCAGGAAAATCCTCATTTTTCTTGATTAGATATTACTGTTCATCTCATGTTAATCTGTGAAGCTCTATGGTAACTATTGAGATTACACAAATTTTGATCCAATGAGGTTATCTCTGAGAAGTTTCAGGTAAAACAGAGGTTCTGTCCAACAGAAATATGATCTAATAAATGCTAAAAATATGTCCCTAGAGACAAAGAAATAACAGCAAGCATAATTCTAACTTTAGTTTCACAGTGTCTTTAGTCACATTTTTAGTATGTATACACTCTAAAGATTAATCAGTAATTTTACTTCCAAGTATATTTTTATCATGAAGCACTAATGCGGACTGAACATTTTCTCTACACTAACCTGATGGTGGAGGTGGCCAAGGCTCATCTGATCTGGTGGGCTCAACGGGATGGTCACAGACATCCCAGTAGTCACCACAGCAGTCTACAGGGCCAGGAGAACCTGAGGCACAGAACTGGTCACAGTAACATATAGCTGCTTTAGAGACGACGTTGAAGCTGCAGTCATCGTCTCTTCCTGTGCAACAGCCTCGTACCCTGCAGGACCTTCCCTGATACAGGCTCCTCTTTAGCCTGTTCCACCTTGCAGAACCACCATCTTCAACAGAGGAAGGTCTTTGGGGGAAATTTTTTCTAGAGTCAAGCTGCTTTGCCATCCAGACTTCACTGACGATGCAATACAAGAGCAATATCTGACTTTTGAGCCACATTCTTCTGCCACTAGCGGGTTTTTTTGAGGCTCTTTGTGTTTCACTTTATCAATAAATGTTCCTTTTCTGTAGATGTAGTACCTTCAGTCAGTATTCAGAAAGAAATCTGAACAGAAAGCTGCAGACTGCGGTTTTCTAGAATGACTCTGTATGTGTTAATTATTAGTCAGACATGTTGTAAACTGATTTATTTGCCCAAGATACAGAGATACTGAAAACAGAGCCACAACTATGAATCTGTGATTATGAAACATCAGCTGCAGTCTTTTGCAAGTGAGAAAGTTTACAGTAAAAGTTTCAGAATATACAGAACATACATGGTCCAATATTTTAGTTCTATACTTTCACCTTCTAAAATAGAAAACAATGTGAGGAATGAGTACACCCTGTCGAAGGAAGCTCTCTTGTTTTCTAGCTTCATTTACCTGTAACTAACATGTTCTTCATATGATTGAAAAATATGTAACATTTAGATTGCATTTCATCTATATTTTCCTTTCTGATATGCAGGGCTATATCACTGCAGTAAACTGCACCCCTCATTTCAATCTTGTTTCCAGTGATTTAGCTTAGCTTTATATGCTTCATTTTGCTCTGTTTTACTGCAAGCAAATTCAGTAAAAGTCAGGTGATATCCACTAGAAACTATTATCTAAAGATACTCTTTTATGGATTGCATTTTTTCAGTCAAAAGGAACTGGCAATCCTTGTAAACAGTGTAATAAATGCCCACTGATGAGTGCTCATTCCTATTTAAAAAGGAAATGGCTGCATTAATAAAGCCACAAAGAAAGACAAAGCAGATATCAAAAGATAAGTCTAACAGCCTTTACTGCTTGATCTATGATCTCCAGGTTTTTGAACAGCAGGCCTAAAGAAATATGCATAGTACTGTTGCCAAAACTTGAAAGATTCAGGAAAAAGCAGCAAAGAACTTTGAATTTCCTAGGAGAGATGGCACATCAGGCTAACTTGCAAAAACAGCAGTGTTTCAAATCTGAGCTATCACAAGACAATTTAAGTCTCCAGAGCTGAACAAGCAGAGGTAAAAACCAGTCATCTTTCTGTCTCCATTTTGTAGTAAATGAGAGGAACCTGGAGAAGTTGATGGCAGACTTTTTTAGGGAATGAAGGGGATCTTTCCCCTTGTGACTTCAGCTGGGCTCTTCAGTGCTGCAGAAAGTCAGAGCATCAAAGGGCAGCTACTTTTGAAAGAGCAGCTGGGAGCACAGCTGGTTTGGATGTATTGTCATGAATGGCAGAGACATTAAGAAGGAATGTGTGTATGTGTGTATATGTATGCTTATATATATGAGCTTGTAATCCATATGTTCAAGTCATTAACACAATTTCTTGCCAGCGGTGCTTCTATTGGACCTGCCTTCCACACTGTCCCCACCACAGATTAAGAACTGTGGAGGGAAAATTGGATCAGACCACATGAATTTTATTTTGCTTTATCGTAAGCAATCTTCTGTGTGGAAATCAATAGAAAGGCCAAGGTCAGCAACATGCAATCTCTGTACATTTCATAATGAGACATAAATCTTAGCCTTCAAATTTGTTCTGTATTTTTTTATTAATTTTGTTTATGAGACAAAAATCTGGACAATGTTAAGTCTGTCACTGACTGCTATAATGCATCAAATATAATAAGAGGAAAATGAGAAAAGATGTGTTCACGGAAACACAGGTGAAATGCTCACTCGAAAAGACAATCCAGTGTTTTTTCTTACGTCTACACAGTTCTATCAGTTCCAAGAGAATGACTCCTGATTTCCACTAACACTGGCAAAATACAAATCTTCTTTGTTATTACAGGTCTTTTGAAATATTTTTACAAAGTTATCTCCTTGCTTTTGAATCATCAGAAAGAAAAAAAAGCTACCATATGTGATAAATGTTATCAGCCAGTCAAATTAAGTGAACAGACATATCTGTGTTTTAAGTTGCAGACCTCTGGTTTCATTGGGTTTTGTTTGGTGGTTTTGTTATTTTTTTAAAATTTTCCACTTTAAAGACTTGCTGGTGATAAACCAGAGGCAAGGGACTTGCTTGAAAATTATGTGAGCCAGTTCACACAGGAATGAGACTTCTCTTAAAGGAATGTGAAAATTTAACTTGTGCTTCTAAACAGCTTTATTTTGTGACACAAGAAACTGTGCTGAAACTTGATAAAATCTATCTTTCCCAATTATTGGCATGTGTTCAAACCTTATAAAACATGAATCTATTCTACTGTGGTTCAGCAAATATTTTTATTTCAGTAGTTTTCTTTGTAAGAAAAAGCAGCTCTCTGTTCACCATACGAAAGCACACATTGACTTACCTGTAACTATTTAGAAACTGTTAAACATTCTTTTTTTTCTCTACTGAAGATTAACCTACTCCAAGCATAATAGCTCTGCTAAGCTTTTGAGTTAGGGTTCTAGTCCTACAGAACCTAAGTACAAATATATCTGACTTATATCTGTTTAAGCATTACCTGATGTCTACCCTTGAGCTTCAGAAAACTCCACACACTTGGCAGGAAATTCAAATATTAATATCACTGAACACTTGGTGGAGTTACAGAGAAAAAACAGTTTAAATTGTCCAAGAATCTCTTTAGAGCCAGAGCAGGACTATTTTACACCTTTTCTTTCAAAAGTCTCCCTGATTTATCTGAACGAGTTTACTTGGCATCATAAAAAAGCACTTTTCTAATCACCTTCAGAGTACAGGTGATAGCAGTGGCTTGTGAGTCTCTGGGTGCTGAAGGTCACTCCCAGGACAGAGGGCGGAGCCCACCCCAACAGAAAACCACGGCACTTTCCCCTCCCCTGGCTGCTCCAAGCAGATGGGGGTCAAGTCTTGCACCCAGACCCAGAGGGAGAATTGCAGTACTGCTACCTTGTGCCAGGAAAAAGAAGTGGCCAGTTCAGGAAGAAACCAGAACGCCAGACCCCAGTTCAGTCATTGCTAGTAGACACAATTCAGTGCATCAGAGAACGTGTGTAATTGCTTTTAAATTCTGCAATGATATGGGCCATCTCTTTCTTCGAACTCAAATGGCAATCTAACTGGTGGCTCTTTGCACAAAAATCACTGGTTTGTAATGGCTGCAACAGTTTATACTTACTACTCTTTATTATTAATGGCCGCAATGCAGTAAAAGTTTTTAAAGCAAAACCACTTGACGAAAAGTATTCTTCCACAATGTCTTCTCTCTACCATGTACTAACAGCAGAATAGGATTCATCCTCCCAAACTGTGAGTGACCAGCTCTTGGATGCGTTTATGCAGAGAAAAGCTGCGTGGTAAAGTGATTTTCTCACTGCCACTTTGGTGTCCACATGTTTGAAGCAGGCACAGGACTGGGAGTGCTTTGGCCCTGCTTGGAAACAGCCTGGCAGCTCACTGCTCTGGGTTGCTGGTGTGGTATCAAGCAGTGCCACTGTTAAACCAAACACTTCAGGGCTTACTACCTCAATTCTTGCGTGGTTAATCCAGGTTATGTGTCACTCAGAATAATGCTGAGTTAGAACATATTTCCCAGATGTCTAAGTAAGTCATCCTGATGGGAATGTGTATTTTACTGGAAAAATAAAGAATAAAAGCAGGGTAAAGGCATCATAACTTGGTCTACTATATTACACTATAGAATAAGCAGCATCCATTAATTTTTTAGTACTACTGAAAAAGTAATCAAGGTTTTGTGTGGAGTCTTGATCTTTATAACCTTTCCTTAAAGGATTTTTTCTCTTGAAGCTTTTTCCTTTGGTTTCTCAGGATAGGCTTCCTAGACTGCTGGAGCAGATAGGGAAACTGTTTTTTAAAGTATGTACAAATGAACAAACTCACAAACCCAGAGGTCAATAAAAAGATTCCTCTTTTGCCCTTCCTATGACTCCAGTAGTTCTTTCTCTCACTTATGATCCTTCCAGGTATGGGCTTCAGTTTATCACCTGGGCTTTGAAGCTAAAATATACCATGTGAATATTTCTCCTGGGTAGACATTCTAGATGGGATTTGGGCTTCACAGAAATTAAATTCAAGAGGGAAAGAATGTTGGGTTTGCAACACATCTAGAAAGAAGGAAGTGCTTCGAAAAAATGGGCAAACTTTTCAGAATCACACAGATCATAGTGGTTCTAAATATGAATTTTGCCCTTTTCAGTGCCTGACTGAAAACAAGAAATACTATCTAGATCCTTAGTGGGTAGACCTATTAGATCTTGTACAATAGTTGTAACATTTACAGCTATAGATATGTTCATTTGTATGCATTTATATCTATTTTATTATTTTACTTTTTTAGTTTTAAAAACATTTTTGTTATATTTACTTACATATGTTAATTTCTGCCTCCAGGAACTCTCTCTTGAACTTAATGAAATGCTTTTCTCAGTAATTTTTTTGCCATCTGGTTAGTGGGTATGCTGTCCACAGGATATACATTTAACTTCTATTATTTTTCCATTAAGAAAAGAAACTAATACAAAACCCAAGCTTATATAACTGTCAATCTGTTAATGACATTTTGAAGGACATGTTCTCCTGTAGGAAAAATGTATATTCTACCTACATATATACAGAGAGAGAGAGAGAGAGAGAGAGACTCGGTGATTGCTCAACTTTTCTTCTTTTTTTACAGTTTCACAGTTCAACAGTTTAAATGCAGGCTTGATTGAAATTACACCAGGTCCAATAGTGCAAGAGGCTGAGTAGCCTGAGGACTATTCCATTTAAACTGATTTTCAGTTTAATCTTTAACTGATGCTAATATTTTACAAATTAGTTCACCACATTAATTTTAACGAAAACAGCAGCATGTCTCATTAAAATATTAATCTTAACAACACCACATAGCAACATGTCAGGAGGTAAAATGCTCCTGCACACTAGGACGGGGCTGTGATACAAAGGTCCTGGACATACGCGTACCTGTGAGGTGTTTTGTGCTCCAAAGGACTAAGGGGTCAGGGAGAAGGCAGCTGACTCATGCAAGCATAGACAATCAGCTTCTGTAGACATTTATAATGTATCTTAAACCCA